ACAAAATTGCGCTTTTAAGATCAAAGACTATCTGCCTCGTTACCAAACCCTGGTAAGCAATCAGCTTGACCTACTTCCCCAGAGACTTGTAAGGGTATGCTATATCAGTGTAACCTTATGTTTGTCAGACAAATTTCAGGATACTTCAAGTATTTAATAAACTTCCAATCAAAATGTGTAAGACTTGAGTTTTTCTTACGCCATTCGAGTGGAAGATAATTGAATAGGGGCAGCTGTCGTACCCCAAATTTGTCCTATCCCGATGATTTTATTTTTTAAGACAAATAATAAAGAAACGTTTAATCAAAGGTGGTACAACATTATCTGATGGCCCATCTTTATCCGGGACTAAGGGGTGTATTTTAAATTCAGGAAAGCGGGGCTTTCTAAGTTAGAAAGACTCATGTATCCGTGAACACATTTACGAAGCATGTTGGCCAATGGCCTATGTGATTCATGAATGGAGATTTATTCAAATAACTATTAAATCCAACTGAAATATAAATGGTTATTAGTTGAAATTAAAGCCATCTGAAGATTTTTTTGCCAAAAGGGGGTGCGTGAAATATCAATTAAAAGCCCGTTAATTTGTTGGGACCATTTCCATTTTTTGGTCATTAAAAAGTAAAGAGCGGGTGTATGTCTTATTATCCTATTTGATCCACTTTTGGAAATAATTATATTTTGTTTTAAGGAAAAAAAATTATTATTAAACATTGTCCTACTGATTATTTTCATAACCTATTTATTAAAAGAGTAGTTTTATAAAACTTAAGCTTTATATTGGGTCCGATCTGTTGCAAAGGGGCCCAATCTGTACCAAAAAGGAGCATTACAGTAAGAAAAAGTAGTATGCTAAGCCCATTTGTCATTTTGAGAAAATTATTTGGTTTTTTATTGTTACTGTATTACCAATTATTTTTATTAAATAATTTTTATTAATTATTAAGGGATTTATTGTATTATTTTATAAACTGTATTAAATGTTTTCAAATTTATTTATTAAGAGTTTGTAAACGTGAATGGGGTATTTGAAAGAAGATTTGCTTTTATTATTATTATTGGATCTAATCTTTGTAAGAGAAACAAGAAGATAGGGTAATCGGGCCCGATACGTATTCAAATAAAAATGTTTTTGCAATAAGAAAAAGAGAGAATTGGGCAGTGGTTTGAGGCCCAAAAATCTAATTGGTAATGTGCTGGGCAGAAAAGAAATAGCGCAAGCCCAAGATACAAATAGACATTGTGCAAATCAGAGCGGAATACACGCGTTTCAATTAGACTAACATGTACTGTAGGAATCCAAAATCTAAACTGAATCAAAATTTGCTTATGACAAAACAAATCTTAAAACACAATCTGCAAATCAAATATAACGCCAAATTTGGAAAAACAATCTTACAGGATCTTCAAAGGAATATATTACAAAAGTTCTATCACAGTACAAAAGAATCGAATCTAAAACGGATCAAATCATATATTACAGAGTAAAAACCAAATCAATTACAAATAATCAGAATCAATTTACAAGTAAATCTAAATCCCTGATTTTGTTCTAAACCTAAGGATAAACTGAAAAAACTCAAAACCCTAAATTTATAAAGCTATAAATACAAAAGAAAATTTGATACAGAAGAGGATTTTTTTACGGAAAGCAGAGGGAAGCAAATTCTGGAGAAGAATGGTATACCGAGCCAAGCTTGAAGAAGGTGAAAAAGCGGTTAGAGTTTCGAGGTTCGAAACCCTAATCACGTAAATGCGCGTTTGCTACCGCACCTCCCTAATTGTCATCTACCACCATCTCCAACTTCAATCTTCGCCGGAACCTGCGAATAAGAAGAACAAGGAGGGTCAGCATCATATCGCCACGAGAAACGCAAAGATTCAGAAAACGAAATCGCACAGAGGGTAAATACACTTAGATTTTTGATGTTCTTGTATTTGTGGTTGTGGGGAGGGTTTAGTTTACAGTGGAGAAGGGGGTCGGACACGCCGCCGCGTTGGTTCGTTTAGGCGTTAGGGCTTGAGGCGGAGAGAAGAAGAAAAGAAAGGAAGATGAAACATTGTTGTAAAGGTTGTGAAGGTGAAAATGAAAACAAAAAAAATGAAAAAACAATGTAATGTTATGTCATAATCACGTGCTTGCGCGTATACGGTGTTATAATGGACCTCCTAAATCTCATCTGCATGATCATCAATGGACGGCCATAAGGCCAAGTCCACCATAAGCTTCGTGCGTCCTCACACACCCAATGAACCGGACCTCTCTCCAATCATGTTTTGGGCCTAGCCCAATGATTTCTACACCATCCTTTTTTTCACAATTGCTGAAGCAGGCCAAAAACGTATCCCCTCTGCCTGAATTATTCTGGGCCTGGCCCAACCTTACTATTATCACTCCCCTGTTTTTACTTCATAACTGAAAACACACCCCCTTGAAATTACTTATTTTTATATTTTCTTTTATATAACTCTATTTTCTTATTTATTTACTTATGTTATAAATATTTATTATTATTGGTAGTATTAAATTTCATTAATATTTTATATATTTTTATATATCATTTTTATTCATTAATTTTTTATATTATTGTTATTATCATATGTTTGCTATTTATTATATTAGCATATAAATTATTTTTTTAAAAACTCATGTACATATATTATTTTCTCATATATTGCATTAAATCATTTTTTAATCATGCATTAATCAAGATTTTTGCAACTAATATAATTAAAAAACACAAACAGATCTCAAACTATTTTTCGTAATAAAACTAAGCTAATTAACAGTCTTTTTGTAAATGGGTTTCAACTAGTTTTGACTTACTCCACACTCAGTCAAAATCTCCGCAATCACCATTCCCGACCGAGTGCGAAGTGATTCAAAATATGTTTGCAAACCCCTAAAAAGCACCAACCCATACGAACTACGAATTGAGACTCTGATTCCTCATAAGAGGATACGTAGGCATACGATTAAAAATCGTAACGAGTTCCCCTATAAAAATATTTAAACTCTTTCCCCTATAAAAAATTTAAACCCTTCCCCTAATAAACTTAAAACCCTGTTTATCCCAAACCTAAACCTAGAGCTTAATATCCTTGTGAAGAAGGTGGATTAAATGTGCCTAACACCTTCCTTTCGTCTAATTGAGTCCGAAACCTAGAATCTCTGTCCACGAATTAGGGTTTTCTGTTAGGTTCCCTTCCCTAGGATAAAAACTAATAGTGGCGACTCTTGATTAAAAAACTAGTTGCTACAAGTCTTTCACAAAATAGGTCTTTGGAGAGACACTGTTTTGAATGTAACCCATCCTTGTGTCATAGAAACTCCGCTCAAGATCATCTGCAATGGTTGTTAAAAGTGACTAATCCATCATTCTCTTTATTTAATGATACAACTGTCACTGGTCCAAACAAATCAATGCAGAAGATCTAATGATCTAGAGGTAAAACCAACGTTCTTGCTCTAAAGGGAAGTTTTTGAAAGTTGTCATTCTTAACATACTTCACAAAGAGCTTCTGAAGAGAACTTCAGATTAAGAAAGCTGCTGACCAATATAAGTTAGTTTAGCTAAGATATTATTCTCATCTATCATAGCTTAATCATCAATGCCAAGACTAATGCTCTTTAGAAGTAAACATAAGAGTTTTTAAGATTTGAAAGACTTATTATAGTGATGTTGTTTTTCCCTTATATCATGAATAGAATATTCACATCCTTCAAACTAGTAGCACGACATAATTCTTTATTAATGATAACATCATAATAATTGTCACTTAATTAATTTAAGGACACACATTATGAGTTGTTCCACTAGTTATTTAAGACTGTTAAAAGATGGAAGAAAAACATTACCAACTGTTTCAGAGCATGATATTTTCTTGATCACCTCAGAGAACCATGATGCCTCCAGACTTAAGTTTCAGGCTTATGAACATATGCCTTCTTTTCTCCATATGTTGCAAACAACCAGAGTACATGTATCATAACAGGTGTTTCAACTGCGCTGCTAAGAGTATCTGTAACATAGATTATTTGATTCTTGGGTACCCATAATTTCTTGGGTCCTCTCTTGTTAGTTTCCCCAAAATTTTTGATATGAGTTAGGCTCTGATGTCATTTGTTGAACAGGTGACTCCAAACACAAGAGTGAGGGATGTAGATCTACGTGACACCATCTAGGTCGAAGTCTCATAGAACAACTCCCTGTCCACCACCTTGGCCGAACTCTGGTGGAACAAAACTCCGTTCGCTTCCGCGACCAACAGTAAAAACTTTTGGAATGCCACGGCCGACACTTCCTTTGTCTGGGGTTTCATAGTCGCCATCCTCATCAACTCTTTTGTCTGGGGTAGGATCTACCATTGATAAGATTGAGTTAGAAGAAGGGCTGAAAAGAATAACATATATGCATAGAACTTTCCTTTAATCTTAATCGGACTCACGATACCATTTAGAGAATAACATTGTGATGTATTATCATGAATTCATAGACTCCTTTTATAGGAGAAAATATCATGAATCAATTCCTTAATTTCAAAGAGATATATAAAGAAAATAAAACAAACATAAATTTAGAATAATAAAAAAAGAAAACAATATTATATTTCAACAAAAACCCTTGAGCTAAAAATGGAGTGATGGTTCCTCAGTTTTACGGGGGAGTGTAAGACCAACAAGTGCAACAACACCTACAATCAAGGCCAATATATTTGTTGTTAATATTGCTATTAATTTGTTTATAGCTAATTTACAAATTATCATCCAATGTCTAGCCATGATTCTTGTTGTATTTATTGTATATATTTCTTAATGTAAATAAAACAATGTATTGAGCAATTTTGTGTTCTTACAATATGCAGCAGATAATCCAAACCATTTCCACACATTTTTACAAAACCATATTATTATATATAACCTCAAAACATCAAGCAAACATGCATATTCATATAATACTACAAATGCCGCAAAGATAATCCCTTTCTATATGTATTCAATTTTCAAATACACATATCCCAATGTCACAATCTAAGCTTGTACTTAAAAATGAGCTTAACTTTATCTCTTCATCTCTACTACTTTGAAGCAGCAACAATGACATGTCTGAGCTTGTTTCATGTCTATGATCTTCTTGACTCAACTGAGAAGCTACAAACTTGTCAAGATCTCTCCAATCAGTCACTTTCTCAGTTTTGTTGATGTTGTTTTCTGATATTATTGACATTGAGTTTTGTCTTTTTGCTAATGGCAAAGAGAGACATTCTAACTGAGGAAGAGGTAACAATTGTTGGGAATGCATGAAGATTGAGTTATCTTCTCCTATATCTTGCTTGTACATGAAGCTTTGAGATGAAATTCTCTGAGGTTGCATTGAGATGATGCTACTTGTTTGTTCAATACCATATAAGTTGCTTGGTTCCCATCTTTCATTAGTCTTTGTTTGGAGATTGGTTTTCTTCTTGAATGCTTTGCACACAACCCAACCTTCCTCCTGCAAAGCCATAGTCAATTTAATTAATTTTGAAAGCTATTATAATGATGTTTTGTGAATTGGTCAAAAGAAGAGACTTAAACTTAGAGAAGTATCATATTTGACTTGAATAATATGTCATTCATCAACAATTCATGATGTTTTGAATGTGAAAAGGTGAAAGTTCTTGTTCATCTTTTAATGCGTGTGTTCTCTTTTAGCTTTTGAGAAAATTCAGCCTTTTTGGTACTTAGTTAAAGTCAATCATTTAATTAAGTCAAACAAACTAGAATACAATGAGCTAATAAAGTGATCATCTAATATAATGATAAATAAAGTGTCAATGAAAACAGCCGCGACAAGACGGTATTAGAAAGTGCCGATATCGATATAGTATAATTTACTACTTTTATGATAATAAAACAAATTGTGTTGATTCAGTGTGACGGCATAGTTAGTGTCGCAACACCCTTTCTAACGAAATTGCGTTAATCTTTATGCGACGCGACGTTTGCTTAAAAACTTATAGTGATATTTGAATGAAATAACAAGTTTCATACATGTCCTTTTTGAGAAAAAAGTTTGTGCTTTCTACATAGTATTGTACTATTAAGTAACTATAAAACGAGTTTAGAGGAGTAATCATGAGCTTAATTATACTAAACTATAACATGAGAAAATGACATATCGTGCGAAAGAATTACTATTGGAAGTTGAAACACTTTAACAGTAGTTAAAAAAGTAACCATGCTCACTAAAAGTCACTAATCAAGTTTAAACTTTAATTACTCCTGAAACTCAACACAAAGTACATGGTATATATATATATATATATATATATATATATATATATATATATATATATATATATATATATATATATATATATATATATATATATATGAAATTATGAACTATATAATAGTATATACTATATAGAAATATGTTTAAGAATAAAAATAGTTAAACTTACCTGTGGAGGTGCATTTTCTACGGTTTCAAGCCTATACTCATGCATGATCCAATCAGTTTTCTGTCCATTAGGAGCTCTTCCTTTGTAGAAAACAAGTGTTTTCCTCATTCCAATAAGCTTTGTTCTTTCATACACTGACTTATCTCTTCCTGTTGCTTTCCAGAACCCTACCATTGTAGCTCGGTTCGTTCTCGTCCCCGTCGGATATTTCTTATCTTTGTGACTAAAAAAATACCATTCATGCTGCTCCTCATTCCCAATTCTACACCTTTCTGTAATCAAAGATCAAAAACCTTTCAATATATACTTTTTTAACATGGACAAAAAAAACTTAACCCTAATAAAACCCTAATCAAGAGTTTTGATGAACCTCTATAATCTCGTGCATTACCATGATATATACATGGTTTTAGAAAATTTGAACACTATATATAGTGTGTAACATTTACTAAATAGTATGTATATATATATACCTTGGAGATCCCACGGTTCGATACGATATAGATCGATTTCTTTGATAACATCAAGATCAATCTTGTGAGAAGCTACTTTCTTTCTAAGATAATAACCAACAAGCTCTCCGTCGGTGGGATGAAACCGAAATCCAGGTGGGACACAAGAATCCATCATGTAAATTACAAGTAATATTGGTGCATCAAATTCACCACCACACCATTAATACACTTTGATCATCATGTATAAATCATAAGCAGAAGAGAAAAATAAATCTGAGAGTGTGAAAATGTATGTAGATATAGGTGAGAGATAAAGATAAAGAGAGTGTGAAGTGAAGAGAAGCAAAGAGATAATTAATATTCAAGTGAAGCAAAAAGCTAAAAAGGCAAAAACTCCAACAAAAAAGAAATGATAATAAAAGCATAGTGAAAAAGGTGGCAAGTGTAATGAGATATTTAAAAATGGAAAAAATATATATATAAGCGCGTGTGAATAAACAAAAAGGAATTATTTGAGAGACAATGATTTTCTTCTATGGGTTGAGTTATTATAAGATGGGTAGAGAGAACAAAATAATGAGTTTGGTTATTTTTTTTGGTGAAAAACATGAGGGAAATGGAGGTTATAGATGTGTAGTGTTTGTGAAGGTTCTTCTAAGATGAAACGGACAGGTAGAGTCTTGTTTTAATGATGTTGTCTTGTGTTGGTGAATGGAAGGAATGATTCATCTAGAACGGGGTTACCTAAACCACGTTATTGTTAATAATTATACATTTTCATAAATAATCATCAATATTACATTAGTCAATTAATGTATTAAGCTCAAAATCACATACTATATGTGACTAAACATATTTAAATAATTTTTCAATAAATCAAATCAATTGTACATATACATCATTATATTAAATTTGTTGTTAGTTGTAGAGACATGGTTACATTAGATCCGTAGATAACTACATATATAATTGGAATATAGAAATGTGGTGAGAGTGTGGTGTTGGTGGGATGACGTTATCAGAATAAGGGCACGCGTATTTGGAAAGAAAAAGGGTTTTGAGAGGGAACAAAAAGAAGGAATAAAAGTGGTGCAAAAGTTGAGGATGGATGGATAGAAAACATGGTACTGTTATGTGAGCCATTAACTAAAGTTTGTGTCTCATTCAGGAAGCTGGGACTCTGACTCTACTGTCTCTTTGTCTAGAATTTTCATGGCACATTTTACCCTCTTTAATTCCTTCACCCTAACCTAACCTAGCCTAACCTGCATATTGTTTCTTCTTTCTTAGTATAAGAATAAGAGAACAACATGATGCTTGAATAAGAGAGAGAGAGTGATGACAAGGTTTTAACAGGAGAGGGAGAGTGTATAATACAAGAGTATGGAAATCGGTGCGGTCCACCATCATCTACTAGCCTTCTCTTACCCATTTTTTTGAATTCTTTTAAAAAAAAAAACTTAATTCATATCAGAATACGTTGAATACGTATTAGAATATCGATAAAATTATGAAAATTAACAAGAGATAGAATCATTAATATTAAAGCATAATATTGATAAAATTATGAAAATTAACGAGAGATAGAATCATTAATATTAAAGCATGAACAACTGTATTAGTTTGTCTCCTAACGAATTAAATACGAGTTCATAAAATAATAAGCTATTAAGCATTTACATTCCTTGATAATTTCACTGAACTCTGACAAACTCAGTTGATAACTATTCTCATTATCCGCTACACTTTAGAATCAACCTCAAAATTCACTCCATCCAAATCGAGTTCATGCACCCATTTGATTACTTCTAGAAGGCCTAAAACCTCCCCCGTAATAACATTGGTAATAGGTGATACGCACTCTGTCCAAGCTATCACAAATTTTCCCTCTTCATCTCATACATAAATACCTATCCCTACCTTATTAAAAGTCTTGAAAACGAAGTGTCTATATTGCATTTGAGACGATCTGCCAAATGTTTTCTCCAAATAGGATACATATGAGTTTCAACTTGGTTAGAGCTTCTAGATTGGAATTGTTGAGCATTCATCCATCCCAAAAGTCGGTGAGAGGCACGCTCACAAATTGTTTCCACGGAATAATCTATATGATTCCAAATATAATTGTTTATGTCCTTCCAAATACTCCACAATATGATTGATAATAGAGCTTGTTGTTCTTGACTTTAAACCTGTAAAAGAGAATAAACTCTTGAGTGAGATGTTATCACTCCCCTATATACTTTTAGGATAATAGAAGACAAGGTGTTTATCATCTTCTAGTAGAATACATGTCATTTTTTTTAAATAACCAACAAATATAGAAGTAATACAAAAATTAACACCAAATGACAAAGGAATCAAAAGTTTTTTCGGACACACATGACTTTATAGATGATTTATCTATGACTTCTCAAAAATCACAAAACCATCAAGTAACCTGCTGTGATACGGTGGGAGAACTGACTTGAGGTTTTGTGTTTGTTTTCGCAAATGTTTCGGTTGAGCAAGAGTCGCCACCGATTTTTTATTTTATCCTAAGGAAAGGTTAAAAAGCACAGCAAAAACCTTTGAGATGTTTTCTTGGGTTCGGGGAGTAGATTATAGAAAGGGAAGGTATTAGCACCCTTTCTATCCATGGTTATCCATGGGCTCTTAGTTACTTGCTTAGATCAACTTGCCTTAATTTTCAATTGTTTGAAATGGTGCTTTGTTTGTGGATTTTGAAAATGTTTTGAAAAGAGGCCAATGTGGTGGCAACCTTTGTAATGATCCATGTTGGGATGTATACAAAGGTGTATGTCTTTTGAAAAGGTTTTCAATGTTTTTGAAAGTTGTTTTTGAAAGTGTAATGATGTGTGGTTTGAAAAATAGGCAAGTGTTTTTGTTTTGCAAGGGGGCAAGTAACCAAGAGCTATCTACCCTAAATTTCTCAAAGATTTTTGCTATGTTTTAACCCTTTTAACAATTTTGTTCCACCATTGTATTTGGTGGACAATCCTGTGTTAGGATGTGAATGGGACGGGCGCGGGTCATCGTTTAGACCATAATTACAATGGTGCCAAGTATCTTTGGGCAATTTTCTTTAAGGAACTTGATCATTTTTAGGCAACTTTCGAAAGCGTCGTCGAGGGACTATGATCATTTGAATTGTGTTGTTTTGCCCAAAGAGACCTAACATGCAATATGGCCCATTATTGAAGGCAACAAGTGGAATACCCTAGGGGTGCAAGTGTGATTAGTGTTGTCCATTTTCATGCTTGTTTATTTTGAAGTTAAGTCAAACTATTTTTGGTTAATTGATTTGCATACAAACCCTAATTCTAACATGGCATATTTAGAAAGCTTTTAAAATGCAAAAAATAAAAGGTCCTAAGTTATTACAACACAATATATGGGATGGGGGTACAAATGTTCAAATGGGGATATTTTGACAAGAATTAAATCCTAAGCTATTACATCAAATTGGAATTTTGCAAGGTATTTAATTACACAATATTCAAATAAAATAAATATGCAAAAATACAAAAAAAAGTTTTCATATGTATGTGAAAAAAATGTTTATCATATATCAAATAAATAAAAATAAAAATTAATGTATTTTTGGTATTTTTATGGATCTAGGGTAAAACCCTAATTTTATAAATAAAAAGTATTTATTATATAATATATGTAATATTTATTAATTATGTACAAAAAATAAATGAAAAGAAAATATATGAAAAAAAGTAATTTTTAAGTTAAATATTAGTAAAAAAATAAAATGTATTATTTTATTGTGTTTTTAACCTAAATGTATTAACAAATACCTAAATATTTATAATATTCACTAAATACTAAATATATGTATAAAAATAATAATATTTAATATTTACAAAAATGTATTTTTTTTATAAAAGTTTTTTCAAAGATAAAATAAAACAAAAGTCAGAAAATAAAAAGTATTTATATTATTTTGGTATTTTAAATAGAAGAGTATTTATATGTTATCTATATGTACAAATGTTAATTTAAACCAATAAATGCCTAATAAATATAAAAATGGTTTGAAAAATATTTTTTATATTTTTAATATTATGAGAAAAAATAAATAAGTCAGAAATAATAAGCAAAAGTCAAAAAATGTTTCAAATAAGCACAATGGGCCAAGGGGGTTCAAAAGTGAAAATAGGGTGCAAATAAGAAGTCAACTCAGGCCCAGCCCAAGAAGACTTTGTCTTCAACCTCAGAACCTGTTTGAACAACCACCAACGCGCGTTTTCCTATCTCCAGATTCCTTGATTATTTGTCAAATCTTGCAACATGAAACCTGTAGAGCTTGAAGTCACGATTCTAGACATATAAAGAAATCAATCTAACTCTCAGAAATGAGAGAGAATTTCTTCTCCCCCAATTCCTGACCTAGTTTTTGTTCAAAGTTCAGACCTCAAATTCTCATAGCACATGCAAAATAAATGGAAGGTAAAGATATGTATGGCTTCAGGGACATGAGCATGACATTTTTTATTCACAAACTTAGAGCTAATTCTTCCTACATTGAGAGATGGAGGTCCAAAGATTTACCTGTTCAGTTGGAAACGTGTGCAACAATGGAGATGCTTACAAGGCAAGGTAATGATTTGTATAGCTTGCTTGATGTCCAAGGATGCTATTCCAATGCTTGGTGTACTTTGAAACCAAGTGAATCATGTTATGGCACTCCAACTGCAAAACAGAAAATATGAAAATGGTGATGTGGGTTAGGGGTGTTACAGGTCGTGTTTAGGGCTTGGAACAGTTTCAAGGGATGGTGTGGGATGTGTTTGAAGTGTTTTTGGCCAAGGTGCACGATGGAAATGAGCTAGCCAAGTCCAAGTGCAGAATGCCCTGTTTTTGTGCAGTTTAATGGTGATTCTGTGTTGGAGGATGTTTGGAACTTGGTTGGCTTGTGTTTCAGCTTGGGTTTGATGTTTAGAATGTGAACAATAACTTTTCTTAGGCTTGCTCTTGCTGGAATGAGAGTTGGTAGTTGTTATGCAAGTTTTCTTCACCTTTAAGCAACAAAATGCCAAGTTGTTTTCTAGACTGATAGAGGCCCCTCTAATGTGCTGCTAAGCTTGCCCTTGATCAGTGGGATTAGCTCAAAAACTTGTGCCAAAGAGATTTGTTGTGTACCTCTTGATTTGCAAGTTGACA